TATATATTTGAGATTAATCCTTTGTCTGTTGCTTCATTTGCTATTATTTTCTCCCAATCTGAGGGCTGTCTTTTCACCTTACTTATAGTATCCTTTGTTGTGCAAAAGCTTTTAAGTTTCATTAGGTCCCATTTGTTTATTTTTGCTTTTGTTTCTAAAATTCTGGGGTGTGGGTCATAGAGGATCCTGCTTTGATTTATGTCAGAGAGTGCAAAAGAGTCAAATTCTATGCTGGCAGTTTGGCAGAGAAAGAATCTGATTCAACCTCAAAGCCTCTGAAAGGCTCAGGAATTGCTGGAGGGCTCTAGAGCATCTGTTAAAAAGCAGTCACACCTGGGAATTGCCTGGCAGTTCAGGGATTAGGACTTGGTGCTTTCACTGCCAGGCCTGGATTCTATCCCTGGTCAGGGAAGATCCCGAAAGCTGGTGGTTTGGCCAATCAGTCAGTAAAAACAACCAGACCTCCAAATCCACCCTGCATCCCTGAACTCCAGGCAGACTGGTGGCTCTGTCCCGCCCACCTTCACCCCAACAGGGCAGCAGGCACATATGCTCCAAGTCTCCGGGTGATGTCATGCAAGACTGAGGGTGCGGGTGTCTGCTGAAAAAAGGGATAAATGAAAGTTTCCACACTGAAGGTTGAGACTCCCAGCTCCCTTTTCCCCAATAAGGGTAACTGGTAGCCCAGTTCCTGGTTCTCGGGAAGGAGGATGAATAAGGCTTCTTCAGAGAATATGACCAGCCTTAGAGGAAAGACCAGAAGATACCAATATTGGGGGTTCTTCAATCAGCTGACTCAGCCAGATCACTCTGTGGTAAAGCCTCATCTGTGACCAGAGTTTTTAATAAGTTTTTAAAACCTACTTCATACACATACAAACAGTCCAGTTTCACCAGCATCTGAGTAGAGCCTCTAAAGAACAATAGAGAATACAACCAAACACCCCATTCTTCCTTCAAAAAAAGGAGATGAGAGAAGAAAAAGCATTGGAGAAGAGTTAGGCAGTGCAGGAAGAAAAGGTAACTTGATAGTTCTGGTGAAAGGAGATCCCAGAATGACAACTGATAAAGATGGAGGTGAAGAACCACCAGTCAGCCACTCACTGCAACCAGAGAAAGCCCGGCAGTGCAGCAGTGAAGACCTAGCATAGCCAAAAAAAAAAGAATAACCCAAGGAAAAGAAATCAACAAAATGTAATGTTTTGAAAGTATTGAAAAATATAGATAATTATAGAAGAGTTTGGAAGTACTAAGCAAAGGGAAAACAAGAAAATAATTTCAGGAAAATTAGAAAACCATACTTAAAAGGCAAAGTAACCATAGTATGTACTACATGGATCAGTGTATACGTCTCACCTATTTATGACAATGTGAGCACTGGACAGTGATCAGAATGTCTGTATGATTCTAATGGAAATAGGGAGGACAGTGAAGTCTACAGGGGTGATGGGGTGTCTGTTTGTGTGTGCTGGGGATCTGTGCAGATGTGTGTGAAAAAGAGGGTTAGATCCTCATCCTGCAGAGTTAGAAGTCTACAAATCATGTCTAAAGATAAAAAATCAAGAAATAGTAATATTAGCACATTATCTGAAATTATCAAGGTAACAAAATACTCAGTTTGTTGTCAGTGGGAAATGGGAGGGAAGGGAAATAGGCCTTATGGTATAGACTTTATCAAACTATTTAAACTATGACCATGTAAAACTCTGATTTTGAACAATCATGGAAAAGGTATGGGAGAACATACAATGACACAGAAAGTGATATTATAGGGAAAAGAGTTTTAAGACTATTTGATGAAGTCTTTGTTAAATTATATAGAGACAGTGGTTTTACTAGGTTTTAGAATTACAAGTTACTTCATGAAATGGCCTTGAATGATTGATCTATGGATATTGATGTGTTGGGTTTAATATATTTTTTAGGTTCTTTACGGTGAGGTATGACTTTCTAAGTATTGGATATTGATGTTATACTATAATTTTCTATGCTGTTGCTTTCCATAAGTGCACATTTCTACAATGAGCATTAAGTGAGACATATTCACTTGACAAGAAAGTGACTCTATTTGTTTACATGTGACAGTATTTTCTAGAAAATAAATATTTTAATTAAAATGTTCACAAAGGACATATTGTACTTCATATTTTGCATATAACTTTATGAAGTAAATTAGAACCTTTATCAATTACATTATATAACTGCCATTTTGCAAACAACACAGAACTCATATGAAAGAGGAGTTTTAAGAAGTCACCTACTCAAGACAGATACTTACTGTGGCCCCATTTCTAATGGCCTCTTCGTAGAGCCCAATAACATCAAAGGTGCCTTTGCCTGCCAACAACTTTGCTTTGCAGATCCAAAATTTAGCAAATTTTTCAGCCTCAGGAATACTGGACAAAATGGCAAATACTTCATTAGAAAGTACACCCTGGAAAAAAAGAAAAATACCCAGAGGTAATTGTTACTGTCTTGCTGTTATTTTCACATCTCTTAATACTTACCATAGCAGGTTTGCAGAAATCAGTCTGATAAGTGGGTTTTTTTTTATTAAAAATATTCAATTTTATTGAAGTAGTTTATATAAAAAAATGCACCTAATTAAATAGTTTCGAAGAGTTTTTGCACTGATCATTAAATTTTAAGAGTTAAGAGACCAAATAGAAAAATGTTTATCATAGCTCAAAGTAAGAAATTGTTCTACCTGTTTATGCAAAACCAAAACCAAACCAAACCCTAGAGTAATCAACCTTCCATGTATTTTTTACATAGTCATAATAATGCGAACACTGAATAGTGGCCAGAATTTCTGCTTAACAGAAGCATAAGGATGCAGGTGTGAAAGGGTCATGGATGTACATGTGTATGTGTCGGGGATCCATGCAGGGGTGTGTGTGTGTGTGTGTGTGTGACTCAGTCGTGTCCGACTCTTCGCAGGTATATATAAAGAAGGTTAAACCACATACAAAGGAACTTTATAATGGCTTCATAGGTTTGGACCCTTTCTGCCTTGTACCAAGAGCAGCGCAGTGACATGGACTAGAAGGAAACGGGAGCTACTATGCTCACACTGAACCAAGTAGCACCTCCTACTCTTCTGAGACGGGAAAGACACAGCAATAAGCTCACAGTCAAGAATCACTAATGTCTGAGGAAACCAACACTGCAGGAAAGAGGCATAAAACTCAACAACCAGAAGAACGAACACTGGTGCAAACAGCTGAGGGTGCAAAGAGGAATATATTTTAAGAGTGTTGTAGTCAGTATCTTCAGAGTGATAAGAAAATACTGCCATCATAAAACTAGAATCAATGTTATGAAAAAGAATCAATAGATGGGCAGAACAGTGGCACTGCTGAAGAATAAATCAGTGAGCTGAAAATCCAGCTGTGGAATTCTTCCAGAACCCAGTGAAACAGAACAAAGAAATGAAGTATATAGAAGAGTTCTGGAGGACACATCTATATTCTATATGGGATATATTTATTAGATACATCTATACATTCCAATATCCATGTAATAGAATTTCTTCAAAGACACAGAGAAAGAACAAAGCTGAACATGCACTGCAGTTATAGAAGAAAATTCCCAAGGACTGAACAGAGAAACAAGTGTTCAGACTGTAAGGTCCCCAGAAAGCTAAGCAAGATGGATGAAAAAAGACCCATACTTAGAAAACCAAGGATAAAAAGAAAATCTTAAATTCTTCCAGAGAGGGAAAAAAAAAAACACCAAGATTACCTACAGAGGAATGAGAGATTGACATGAGACTTTAATAAATCAACAATTCCAGATACAAGAAAGAAAATGAAACAGTAACTTTCAAATCTTCCAGGAAAAACCATCTGAATTTAGAAATTTCCCCCAGTCAAACTATGAATTCAACATGAAGATGAAATGATGACATTTTTATAAGCATAACAACTCAGAAAGTTTACCATTAAAAAACCATAAAGTTATTAGTGAATGAACTTTAGAATTCAACTGGAAGACTTGAAACAAAAAAAAACACAAGAAGAATATGATATATAATTGCACACCATGTTTGAACTCATACTTAGCACTTTCTTTTGTGATTTCAATTTATATGCTTTCTTTATGAAATTAAAACTGGATCAAACAAAGACATGAATAAAAATAAACCAAAATACTGCATGTAAATTGAGTTACTAAATAAAATGGCAGAAATAAAGTTAGACATATATGTAATTAAAATGTACATGGGCTAAATGCACTTTTTAAAAGCAGAGAGTTTTCCATATTTTTGTTAGAGAAATTAAACTATGTATTCATATGAGACATACCTTTAAAAATAGAGATAGGGAAAGATTTATCAGACAAGTTGTAACAACAACAAAGCAGGTGTAGCAAGATTAATATCAGACAAAAGGAAAATCAGAGCAAGTCATGAATCTTTATGCACTTAACAACATAACTTTGAAAAATAGAAAGTAAATATTGACAGACAAAGTGACATTATGAAATCACAGTGCCAGTAAAAGACTTTGGTATATTTTTTTCAGAGAGCAAAAAAAAAGCAAGTAAATGAACAAAAAAATAATGGTGCTATTTAAAATTTCTAAGTTTGATCTAATGGATATCCATGTAGAATTTTCTATTCAACTGAGAATACATACACTTTTCAAACACTTTTGGAACATTCACCAAGGCTGATCAGACATTAAGATCAGAAAGAAAATTTCAACAAATTCCATCATTGGCTACATTCACCAACCACAAAGCAGTATAATTAAAAATTGACAGACAAGTAGCCAGAAAAACAAAAACAAACAAAAAAACCCAACACCAACAAAACCAACTACATATCTGGAAGTTAAAAGATACTCTTCTAAGGTAACTTCTGGGTCGAAGACCTCAAAATGGAAACATCAAACTAGCAATAAATGAGAACGTGTCAGTTATTGAAGTTCAGTGTCTTAGCTCTAAACCCACCTTTTATCCTCTGCTTTGTTGTACAGAATACTCTAAGTCTATAAATCACTTTCTGTTTTGACAGCAGTTCCTTGACGGGCTCCGCCAGTGTGGGGCAGTAGAGGAAGGCTGCAGGGTGGAGAAGAGGGGACGTCCTCTTTCTAGTTTGCTGTCTTCACCCCACTAACGGTCCTTCACTCTGGCAGCAGCAGTTGGTTCTAGCCTCTATCTTTTTTACCCTGGCATGCACGGATCCTGCCTCACTGTGCTCCTTCGGAGGCAAAAGCCCCACCTGGGTAGTTAGCATCCTTTTCTCCAGGTCTGAATCCCAGCCCCACAGGGACCCTCCTGCAGCTCCTGTGGCACCAGTATCCTAAGAGCTGGAGTCCCATTTACACCAGGGTTTGTCTCTCCCAGCTTCTAGGTTCTGATGTCCCCAACCTCTCTTTGTTCCCCTAGACCTAGTGGACGCTGCTAGCTGCTTCCTGAAGTTATTGCCACTGTTACTGAGATTCATTTCTGCTGTCAGTCCTGTGTGTGGCACCCCTCTCTCCTTTGATGATTCCCTTATCATTTCTGTGCACACAGGCTCACGAAGTACTTTACAGGCAGCATCTGTGCCTCTTTGTGATGTGTCCATGGAGTCAGAAGGGACTGGGCATTTTTGACCCTCAAGGGCAGCCATTAATCAATGACCATGGAATGACTAATGCCACAGTTTTCCTTGCCCCGATCAGGACAGCTCTTAGAGATGAGACCTGCGCTGTCTCTGGAGCTCCCAGCTGCAGTGACCCTTCATGAACTCTGCTTGAGACCACACCCTGCCTGCCCTCTTTCCCCTCTGGTCCCATATCCCCAACTCCCCTCCCAGTTGTCCCTTGGAGCCTCTTCCTAGTAAACTACTTCCACACAAATTCTCCTCGTAGGGTCTGCTTCCAGGGAACTCACATAAGACACTGAAAGTGATCTTCATATTACATTCTTTCTACTGAGATTTCTTGTGTTCCTGTTTTCCTGACTTGACTCTTAACTGATATGAAACATTACCTAGTCAAACCTGAAGGATAAGACCAAAGCTAAATTTGGAGGCTAGGCCTTGCCTTTTGACTATAGCTTCACCTCCAAATGTCAAATGTGAACTCTTTGGACCTTGATACACAAAGAAGGCAAAGTTCCTTTTGGATCATTCTGGATCCAGACTGCTTGGGTTAATTTCACAACTTCTCTGGGCTTCAGCTTCATTTATAAAGTGAATATAGTAATAGTTGTTATGATAATTGTATGAGATAATATAAGTGAAGTGCTTAGAACAGTACCTAGCATACCAGGAGCCATTATTTAAGTATGTATATTATTATTACTATCACTCCTCCTTGTTAAAAGGAGTAGCTAAATTTCTGCTTAGACAGAGGTTATCTCCCCGAAACTATACTTAAGAAAAGTGTTTAAAAACCCTAAGACTTGGAAAAGCTTGGAAGATTATCGTTCTCACTCACCCTTTCAATGAGCTGCAGACATTCTGTCAGAGTGCTGTTAATTTTATTGGACAGTTCAAGTTGTGCTTTCTTTTCTTCCTCTTCTTTTTCCATACTCTTCCAGAATGAAATATTCATTTCCTCTATTATTTTTCTTTTTGTTTTAAGCTCCATAGGAGGCCGTTTATAGATTTTTCCTTTAGATTTCCGCCATTCTTCCAACTGTTTCCTGTTATACAATTAAAATAGGGAACGGGTTTAGGGTTTTTTTCTGGTACATGGTTTTAAGATTCTAAAGTACGATGAGCATAGATTAGCACTGCACACCTTCAACTGCAAAATCAGGAGAATGTTTTAAAAACAAGTTACTAATTGTTACGGAGGCACTGGTTGCTCCCACCCTTCAGAAGGGTAGATGCCAGACGGAGTACTAGGAATACAACATGTGGTTAGCACCTCCATCTTCAAATTCCTTAATTTCCTGATTGTTATTCAGTTGCTATGTCATGTCTGACTCTTTGCAACCCAGACTGCAGCATGCCAGGCTTCCTTGTCCTTCACTATTTCAATAATGCCCTGATTATTCTTCAATATTATTCCCTGAAAATTTTTATTTCACCTGTATGCTACTTCTAACAATTGCTTTCTCAAGACATCCCTCCATCTTTAAGATCACTAACTCAGCACTCCATTTCTCTTCTCATAAGCTCTGTATCTGCCACTCAACCAGATGTACCAAACCTATATTCTGCCCTCAGTAGGGTCTTGGCCACTCAAAGTGACCCACTTGGCCCAGTTCCTTAACCCTTTCCTGATGACACAGGACCCCTGCTCCCCCTAACAGGGTCAATAATTTCAGGGCTCCTTTCTTAGGTAGCTAGTCTCTGATGGCACAAAGTCCTAGGCCTCACCCTCCCCACACTGTTCACACTCTGCACCCCTGCTTTGAGGCAGTCCACAGACTACTGTTGGGGATGGCACCAAAATATGAGGACCCAAGCATCTGCATGTAGGCTCTTCAGCTTCTTTAAATCACAACTACACTTTTATGACTCACAAATGTACATTTCAGCCCAGATCATTCCCTAGGGCCCCAAACTTTGTAAAACCCTCTGCCTAATTGATATCTGTTACTTGATGTCTGGCATGTATTTAAAATTTAATATCGTCCAAAACAAAGCTCTTGATTTTCATCTCTAAATCTTTTCCCAAAGAGCCTTCCCCACATTGGTAAATACTATCCCAACTTACCCAGCTGCTAGGGCCTAAAACTAGGAGTTGTCATGAGTAGTCCTTTCTTTCCTTGCATCTGACACATCATCGTATAGTCAGTACTGCTTCTGTCTCCACTGCTACCATTCTTGGTCCAGTGCACCATCACCTCCTTCCTGGAATGCTGCAGCAAGCCTCCTAAGTCATCTCCTTGCTTCCACTCTAATCCTTTTCAGATTTATCCTGTACACAGCTGCTGGTGATCTTTACAACGTAAACCAGAGTCACTGCCAGGAACTTCTCATGGCTCTTGGTATAAAATTCAAAATGTTCTCCAAGGCCAGAGGCGCAGAGCAATGTGCCCCCTGCCTACTCCTCCAGACTCACGTCTCACCACTCTCCTGCTCACTCCCTGCCATCCAGGAGCCCTGGCTTCCTTCCAGTCACCTGACCCAAGCTCATTCCTGTCTCAGGGCCTTGTACTATCAGTCTTTGGTCCTCTACTCAAATGAAACCTCCTTGAAGGGGTAATTTTCTGTAATTAATCTTATTTAATCAATGTGTTGGTTTTCTATTAATATCTTTTGTACTGGAAAGCAAGGTCTGTGAAGATGGAAACCTTGGATGACCTAGTGCCTAGCATGGTGTTTGGAACACATTAAGTGTTTAATTACTGTAAAATTCACCTTTTCTGGCACACAGTCCTGTGCATGTCGACAAATGCATGAATATCATGTCACTGTGACTATAATCAAGATATAACACCCTTAAAGATTCCCTGATATTTCTTGGTGGTCAGCCATGCCACCCACATCCAGGTCCCAGCAATCATGGATCTGTTTGCTGTCCTTACCGTTTTGCTTTTGCCAGAAAATCAACAACTATTAACACTCTTAGAATTTGCCTTTTCTAAAGTCAACTCATTCCCAGGACTTGAAAGCCATAGATTTATTATTCTAGTACTACACACCAGAAAAAAACTGTTCCCTAAAAGTAGACTGTGACCGTGTGCACACCACTGTATCTCTCAGTGCCTGACACATTGTAGGTGCTGAAGGAACACTCCAGGAATGAGTGAAGATCTATTCCCTCTAAGGACTCCTCCTTTTTTGGTCATCAACGATGGCCAATTGTAATCAGACTATCTTATGATCCACTGTAGGTTATGTGGTCTAGACTGTGAGCTCCAGGGTAGGGACCCTGACCTCCTTGTTCACCAGCTCTAGGTCTTTGCATTAAGTTTTCTCTCTATTAAGAAGACCTGTCTTTCTTCTGGTTACTGTCCTTTTCCCAGCCCAGTTGTCACTGTTGAAAGTACCTCCCCTGACCCTTCTATCTGAAAAAATCATCCCGGCCTCCCTTTCTCAATCGCCTCACCCTGAATCAAGTTGTTTATTTTCTGTTTCTTCAGGGGGCAGAGAGCTTGTCAGTTGTGCTCAGGGCTGTATTAGAAAATAAATCCTGCCCTCGCTTCACTCTGCTACACCTTTTAGCTACCATCTTATTTTATGTGGTCCTTTCACCCTTGCCAAGAATCTCCTTATTTTCTACTCCAACCAAGTGTACCAAGGTGCTTCTCCTGGGATGTTCACCACATCATGAGAATATATATGGTCCTGTGCGGAAAGTGTATGAAATCCTTTGGCTCAGTTTCAAGCATCACCTATGTTAACGTCTGAGGTCCTGATTTCTACCATCTGAACTCTATGTGAACCGCTTACTTCTGCTTCAGTTTACTTTCCAAGAAACTTGGCCTGCTCAGACTCATAGAAGCTTCCTGCTCCTTCTTCCCTGATAACCTTTCTGGCTTTACGCACTAGCTGGCTTGATGAAGGATTACCATCTCTGCACTTCCTATCTATGCAAGTTCACCACTCTGGCTCCTCCCACCCTGCCTCTGTTCTGTCCCCGTGGGGCACTTCCTGCATGAATAGTCTACCTCTGCAACCCCTACTTCTTGGTCAACTATTTTGCTTGAATTTCTTTTTTAAAAAAGAAATTAAAAAGAAAAAAATTAAAAGGAAAATAAAAAATAAATTATTTCAAGCATACAGAAGGTTACAGAGAACAATCTCCACCTAGCTCTATCAAGTCTTAATATTTGCTTTGAATTTTTAAGAGTTATAGCTAAAAATTACCCAGGAGCCATTATTTATGACCCATTTCCTGACTTTAGCACTCTTGATGGTCAATTTGCCTAGCCATCTTAATTTGCAAAACTCTGGAATTAAAGTACCTTCGATCCTCTGCTGCAATCTTCTGACGTGGATTAGTTTGCGCCCCATCTGGGACTCCTCTTCCACTTACGGTTGGGCCACCAGCTTGAATCCGGGGAGCTGTCTTGTTTAGAAAACAATTCTGGGGAGGAGCGCTTTTGAACTTGGAGTCCAAAGTCCGTGCTCTTTGCTGACAGCTGGTGTTGCATTTATGCCCAGTGGCTCCATTTGCTCTGATGCTAGGGGTGTTTGGAATGATGGAGTTAAGGCTGCCAACAGTCAAATTTGGCCTTTGGCTTATGGCTTTTGATTTCTGCAGTGCATATGATGTCTGAGGTCTACAACAAGACTGAGTGGTTTTATGATCTTGCTTAATGTTTGGATGTCTGTGGTTACATCCTCCTTGAAGCACATTGGGGTGCGTACTGGGTTTGCTGTGTTTTACTTTCTGCTCAGCAACAGTGTATGACTGTAACTTAGTTTCATTTGGTCTTTCATACTTACCTCTATTAACCTTTACAGCCTTTATGTCCTTAACCACTGTTTTCTTTGTGGCTTGAGATCTATTAAGTGTCTGGACAAAGTGAGAGGGAAGGGTTTTGGGGGGTTTCCCCCCTGGTCTTATAAGGTCTGCTCCTCTAGAGAGTTGCTGAGACTTCCCTGGTGGAACCCTGGTTTGTGTTTCTTCAACAAATGGTTTCCTAACTCTCTGTGTCAGAGCAGCACCGTTCCCTGAGCTTTTGCCCAAGACTTCTCTGGTAGGAGCCAAAGTGCTTTTGGTTTGATTTGTTTTGGGTTTATTTATGGTCCAGGATTCAGGATTTGGCTTCCTTTCAGAGTCTGGTAAGTCTTGGGGCAAGTTCTCTTTATTCATCTCCTTTAGACAGCCACCCAGGGATTCATTTTCAACATGTGTATTGTCCACAGGGTCTGTACGTTTAGCAATTCTTTGATCTGTTACCTGCTGCTTTGTAGTTTTCAGTTCCTGTATATTAAGTGATCCCATGGTTTCTCTTGGCTGTTCTCCATCAGTGGACGATCCAAATCCATGCAGCTGTTGACTACTGCCAGGAGGCTTACCGTTTGGGTTAGAAGAAACACTTTCTGAAGTGAGCCTTTTACCTAGTTTTGGTGGCTCCAACTTTGGTCTCTGAGACCTGGTGATATTGGCAGGTCTGGACTGTAGTTTAATGCTGATGGATCTTGTAGCTTTGACTGCCAAGGCAACATGGTTGGTAACATCCTTTTTGGGTCCAATAGTCTAAAAAGACAAATAAAGGTAAAAACATTAGTCCATTGTTTTTAAAGTAAAAAAAAAACCAATTAATTATTTTGTTTATAACTTAAGAAAATTGATCCTGACAAAACAAAGACTCACTAATAGATGACTTTTATAACTTGAGTTCCTATTAGAAATATATTAGAATCCTTTAGCTTGATAGAATTAGGCAGAGATGCAGTGAACACACAAATATTGCTGTTTAACAAAATAAACAAGTACTTGCTGACTGCTCATTATGTCCCAATGAAGTATCCTTCCTGGAATTCCAGAAAGATACATACATAATAAACTTATGTTAGGGTACCTCCTGAGTTCCTCCTCATACTTTCTTTTGTTTTTTTGTCTTGGATGCATCAAGAGGCAAGTGGGATCTTAGTTCCGTGACTAGGGATCGAACCCGCGTAACCAGCAGAGGAAGTGCGGAGTCTTATTAACCTCTGAATCACCAGGGAAGTCCCTTCCTAGTACTTTCTATTGCTACACTAATTCTCTTAACACTGCCTTTGAAAGGTCAGAGTGTCACTTAAGGAACACTGTCTCATCCTGGAGACTAGTGGTATGGAGTGGTGGGAGATGCTGGCAGGTCTGAGATACTTTGAGACAGCTCTGAATAAGCATCAAACATCTCAGTAGAAAGTGAGTCATATATGTGAAGTTAGGACAGGGTTTTAAGGTTAGATTCTACATTATTCATAAGTAAATACTTCAGTCATGTGACTTAATTTTGGATAAGAAAGGGAGGACTAGGTAGCAAAAAACTGAAAACTAGGGAGGGATGTTTAGAATTAATATGGTAAATAACAGGAACAGGCCACTGAGGATTCTACAGCATCCACATTGAAAGCAATTACTTAGAAAGGAGAATTTGTCAGAGATTTGCTGACTATCTAGGGAAAGATATGTCAGTGCTACAGCTATGACTTTCTGTTTTTGGTTTGGTAATATGATGAATAATTACTATGTAAGTTTCATGAATGTGTAACCAGAACCACTTGGCATTAAGGGCAAAGACTAATTTCTACTTACAGATTTAGAAGGCGGAGGATTTGGGCAATTATTCTTGGCTTTCAGGTAAGGCCTAAAAAAGATGAAATAAGATTAATTCTTAGTATAGAAGAATCAGCAAGACTTGGGAGTACAGTGATTAAAAATATTAAAAATTATTGTGGTTATAATTTTAAATCATTAGAATTTCCATGTGGCTAAAAAATTCAAAAATTATAATTAATAAAAAGTCTCCTTATCATCCTTCCCTTAGTCCTATTATTCCACTCCTTGGTGATCATGACCACTCTTACCTATTTTATTTCTGTGATCCTTTCATAGATGTCCTATGCATAGATACAACATTCTAACAATATTAATAAAATATGTTTTCTTCATATCTGCATAGTCTTACTCATTTAAACATCATTCCCTGAACACTGCAATGTGCCAGGCACTAGAGATTCAACGCCAAATAAGATAAATGCTTCTTTAAAAAGCGTGTTTGTTTTCTGAGTCTGTTTCGCAAATAAATTCATTTGGATTAAATCAGCTATACTTCAACTTAAAAAAACTTGCTTGTTTTTTAAGTGTCTTCAACTAGTTAATTTTTAGGTGAGGAAAGCGATATAAATAAAAGAACATAGAGGCACACATGAAAACTAGTGAGACAGAAAACTTAAAAAAAAAAAAAAGATAGATAAGTAGAGGATAATTTAGATTCAAACTTCACAGTCATAAACTGCCAAACAGGAACTTTGATCAAGACTTGATATTTGTTTCTCTGGTCTTGGATGCACATCGCAGGAGGGCAGGGACTGCTTTGTTTTGGTAAGCACCTTATCTCTAGAACTAAGAGTGATTGATACATTATAGGTATTAAGTAAATTGTTGAATAAATGAATTAAGTTTTTTTATTTAATCAAGGAAATCACGTCAAGTAAAAACTCAAAGTAAAAGAAGGCAAGAATATACAATGGAGAAAAGACAGTCTCTTTATTTTTATTTTTTTTCCAGAGTTAGTTTTATTTATTTATTTTTTCCATTTATTTTTGTTAGTTGGAGGCTAATTACTTTACAATATTGTAGTGTTTTTTGCCATACATTGACATGAATCAGCCATGGATTTACATGTGTTCCCCATCCTGATCCTCCCTCCCACATCCCTCCCCATCCCATCCCTCTGGGTCTTCCCAGTGCACCAGCCCTGAGCACTTGTCTCATGCATCCAACCTGGGCTGGTGATCTGTTTCACCCTTGATAGTCTACTTGTTTCAATGCTGTTCTCTCTGAACATCCCACCCTCGCCTTCTCCCACAGAGTCCAAAAGTCTGTTCTGTACATCTGTGTCTCTTTTTCTGTTTTGCATATAGGGTTATCGTTACCATCTTTCTAAATTCCATATATATGTGTTAGTATACTGTAATGGTCTTTATCTTTCTGGCTTACTTCACTCTGTATAATGGGCTCCAGTTTCATCCATCTCATTAGAACTGATTCAAATGAATTCTTTTTAATGGCTGAGTAATATTCCATGGTGTATATGTACCACAGCTTCCTCATCCATTCGTCTGCTGATGGGCATCTGGGTTGCTTCCATGTCCTGGCTATTATAAACAGTGCTGCGATGAACATTGGGGTGCACGTGTCTCTTTCAGATCTGGTTTCCTTGGTGTGTATGCCCAGAAGTGGGATTGCTGGGTCATATGGCAGTTCTATTTCCAGCTTTTTAAGAAATCTCCACACTGTTTTCCATAGTGGCTGTACTAATTTGCATTCCCACCAACAGTGTAAGAGGGTTCCCTTTTCTCCACACCCTCTCCAGCATTTATTGCTTGTAGACTTTTGGATAGCAGCCATCCTGACTGGCGTGTAATGGTACCTCATTGTGGTTTTGATTTGCATTTCTCTGATAATGAGTGATGTTGAGCATCTTTTCATGTGTTTGTTAGCCATCTGTATGTCTTCCTTGGAGAAATGTCTGTTTAGTTCTTTGGCCCATTTTTTGATTGGGTCATTTATTTTTCTGGAGTTGAGCTGGAGGAGTTGCTTGTATATTTTTGAGATTAATCCTTTGTCTGTTGCTTCGTTTGCTATTATTTTCTCCCAATCTGAGGGCTGTCTTTTCACCTTGCTTATAGTTTCCTTTGTTGTGCAAAAGCTTTTAAGTTTCATTAGGTCCCATTTGTTTATTTTTGCTTTTATTTCTAAAATTCTGGGATGTGGGTCATAGAGGATCCTGCTGTGATTTATGTCGGAGAGTGTTTTGCCTATGTTCTCCTCTAGGAGTTTTATAGTTTCTGGTCTTACATTTAGATCTTTAATCCATTTTGAGTTTATTTTTGTGTATGGTGTTAGAAAGTGTTCTAGTTTCATTCTTTTACAAGTGGTTGACCAGTTTCCCCAGCACCACTTGTTAAAGAGGTTGTCTTTTTTCCATTGTATATTCTTGCCTCCTTTGTCGAAGATAAGGTGTCCATAGGTATGTGGATTTATCTCTGGGCTTTCTATTTTGTTCCATTGATCTATATTTCAAGACAGCCTCTTTAATAAGTGGTACTTGGAAAACTGGACAACTACATGTAAAAGAATGAAATTAGAACACTTCCTAACACTACACACAAAAGTAAACTCAAAGGGACTTTGGTGGTCCATCGGTTAAAACTCTGCTTCCAATGCAGGGGGCGTAGGTACAATTCCTGGTTGGGGGAACTAAGATCCCATATGCCATATGGCTCAGCCAAAAAAAGAAAAAGAAAAAAACTCAAAATTGGATTAAAGATCTAAATTTAAGGCCAGAAACTAATAAACTCTTAGAGGAAAACACAGGCAGAATACTCTTTGACATAAATTTCAACAAGATCCTTTTTGACCTACCTCCCGAAGTAATGGAAATAAAAATAAACAAATGGGACCTAACTAAACTTAAAAGCTCTGGCACTGCAAGGGAAACTATAAACAAGATGAAAAACTCAAAGTAAAAGGAAGCTAAAACAAAGGCTGAAAGCTAACTTTGTAAAAATTCATTTTCAACTAAAAATTTAGCAACACATTGGGGAGAAAAACATATCAGTGCTAAGGTAAGTGTGGTGACACCACTGAGATGACAAGATGTTGACAAAAGAGAAAAGTGAGGCCGTCATATTCTGTTCACCTCCACAGTCAGTACTAAGAGGAAGACCCAACCATACTCTCAGGCTAGAGGATGGGGATGTGCAGTTTACAGAGGAGGGATTATATAACTGGCTCTCGTTTTAGAAAGCAGCACCAGGATCAGGACCATCCCTCTCCCAGCAAACAAAGCAGAGATGGGAGAAGCTTCCAGCATTGTAGGTGCTACTGTAGACCCTTCTCTCTCACCTTGGGAGACTCACAATAATAATGCTTTAATCTTTGCCAACATTTTTATCACACCTGCACCAAAATGCCCTTTTTGAATAATCCTAGGATCCTAAAACAGTCTGAGCAGACTGCAAACAAACGGGTTATGTTTTGGCAGAGCTTTAAATTGCCATTAGCAACCAGGGCACCAGAACTTGCATAACTGTGGGAGACAGACTCACTTGGTGTTTTGGCACTTCAGTTTTCCCTTGGCTGCTAGGTACTCCTGCAGCTTTCTCTGCCGCTCTTCTGCAAAACAGGCAAGCAAACAATAGAATTTTAGCTCAAGATTTTAACAAGCTCATTTATATTCTAAAAGAAGGCACTTTTCTGTATTGATTTTGGTGTTGGACCATAATGTTTTAAAGTCCCTAGCACTACAGACTTGCCTCCAGATTCACATCCACATTGACAATAAAATTTGTATGTCTCATTTTATGCTAAGCTCTTTACACTTACATTACTTCCTTTAATCTTCAAAAAAATCCTATAAGGTATTTTACAGTCTGAAATTTAAACATGGATAAAGGCTATACAGGGAATTTCCTGGTGGTTCAAGCAGTGAAGAATTTGCCTGCCAGTGCAGGAGATCCTGGTTTGATCCCTGGGTCAGGAGGATCCCCGGGAGAAGGAACTGGCAACCCACTGCAGTATTCTTGCCTGGGAAATCCTATGGACAGAGGAGCTCGGCGGGCTACCGTCCATGGGGTCGCAAGAGTCAGACATGACTTAGCAATTAAACAACAACAAAATGGTATACAAAGCCAGACTTTGAAACCAGGTTTATTCAACCCAGAGCCCTTGCTCAGAGCCACTGTTCTCAGCTACAACCTATCAAGCTTTGCATGAAGAAATGCTATTACTGGCCCACCTGAGCTGGTGAGCTCAGGGCTTGTTTTATTAATCCCTTCTGACAGGAATGATGATTTTTGCCCACAAACCCTTTCTTTTGGAACGAAGGACAAAATAGGCTAGGCTGGAGGTTCATCGCAAACATCTATCCATATAGTGACTTTCTTTCTAAGCAAGCCATCTGTGAGGGGATGAAAAGTCAGTATTTCTCTCTTCGAGAAGTTTCAACCTGGTAGTGGTGATAAAAGCGGGTCAAAAAAAGAACTATGGGAGTCCAGGACAGGAACTGAGTGAGGGGAGTGGGCGATTGGAAAAGGCTAAAATTAAGATGGTTGTGGCACTGAAAAAGACCTTTAGGAGTCTCCTGGACATCACGGAGGTCAAACCAGTCAATTCTAAGGGAAAGCAACCCTGAATAATCATTGGAAGGACTGATGCTGAAGCTAAAGCTCCAATACTCTGGCCACCTGATGCAAAGAACCAACTCACTGGAAAAGACCCTGATGCTGGGAAACATTGAAGGCAGGAGGAGAAGGGGACAACAGAGGACGAGATGGTTGGACGGCAACACCAACTCAATAGACATGAGTTTGAGTAAACTCCAGGAGACAGTGAAGGACAGGGAAGCCTGGTGTGCTGCAGTCCATGGGGTCGCAGTGTCAGACATGCCTAACGGCCAAACAAAAACAACAGCTATAGAGGGTGCAAAACAACTCAATCTCATTTAAACTGAGTTGCGCTGTGTTTTGATATCTGGTTCTGATCCTTCCCCAGGAGACAGCTGTGTCAAGAGGACTGATGGAGTTGAGAGATGTGGCTGGAATCCCAGTTCTATGATGTCTAGCCAGTTAGCAAACCTTGCTGTTGCTGAGCAGATAAAATGGGGCAGAAATGCCCATTTTTAAGGGCTGTTGTGTAAAATGCCTAAGACAGTGCCTGGGCCCTGGGAGACAGTCGACAGGTATTGTTGCAGAAATTAACAAAACAGTGTGCATTTTGGAGCAGGTGACAGATATCTGAGCGGGAATATTTAAAAAGTCAACAAAGGGCTCCAAACACATTTAGGAAGTCAGGGAGCCCAGGACCCTCAGCATCATGCAGATTGAACCCATCAGCTTCCAGGGCGCGTGTGTTGCAAGACCTCCGCGTCTGGGTGAGACCCGCCTTGACAGCTGTCACAGTCAGCTTGGGCGGGCGGCGTAGCCCCGAGGGCCACACCCCGGCTCCTCCTGAAGCCAAATCTGGGCCGCTGGAGCGCTAGGCTTTCCACTGGTTGTGCGATCTCGGGCAAGGACCCTCGGTTCTTTCCCAAACGAGGTGACAATGGCAGCTTTTTGCAGAGCTGCTGCGGGACTCTTTGGGAGGGTGCCTGGGAGGTGTGGCCCCGCGCACAGCGTCCCAGAACCCCAGCCGCGTTTTCTCACCGAGGCCTGGGGCGTGTGCTTGAGTCAGCCCCCGCTTAACCAAAAACGCCCATGGGGAGACAGAGGCAGGCACGCAAGCGATCGGGTCACTTCCGCAGAAAGGACTCACCCGAGGTCCTCCCTTCGTCCCCGCCCGTAATACACAGCTGCTGGAGGTCATACTTACCAGCAGCGGCGGAGAGTCCAGGCCGCACCATGATTCTCAAACGACAGTTTTTCTTCAAAGGCCGCGCCTGGAGAGAAAGCCGGAGCGCCGCGCTTGCGTCCGCTCTCATTGGCTCCCGTGGGTTTGAAACATGCCAATCGGAAGCCTGGGAGGGCGGGCCCGAAGGAAATAGGTGCATTTCGGTTGGCTCTACCCTTCAAGCCCCACCCTGGGGCTATTTGATTGGAAGAATGTACAGGGAAAGAGCCGTTGGCATTGAAGACGGCTGGTTGGGCAGGAGGCGGAGCCCTCCCCACCCCTTTAAAGATGAGGTTTCTGGGTTGCTGTGCTTTCAGTTACGAGAAAGGTGGCCAGGAGTGGCGACAGGGCGTGGGGTGCACCCGGGCCCCGCAGACAAAGCTCCTCCTCCGCCCTTTCAGATTCTAAGGTTCATATAAAAATAGTATAAAACCAAATTGATGAATTTGGCAGCTCCTCACGAGTATACGTCCTACTTTTTATGGGTCTCTGAAGTTAAATGATCTTAGTTCTTAGTACAGCAGTTCCTGGGTGCTCAGTCGCTTAAATCGTGTCTGACTCTTTGCGACCCTGTGGGCTGTAGCCCTCCAGGCTTCACTATCCATGAGATTCTGTAGGCAAGAATACTGGAGTGGGTTGCCATTTCCTCCTTCAGGGGATCTTCCCCACCCAGAGCTCAAACCCGCGTCTCTTAGGTCTCCTGCTTGGCAGGATTCTTTGCTATTAGCGCCGCCTGGGAAGCCCTAGAACTGAAGGATGACTCCTCTTTGTTTTTTATTATGGTAAGATATACAAAGCAAAGCTTACCATTTAAGTCATTTTTAAGTGTACAATTCAGTGTCATTAAATACATTTACAATGTTGTACAATTATCATCACTGTAAAAAATTAATAATTTTAAAATAAAATTTAATAAATTATAAATTTATAAATGTATAAAATTTAATAATAAAAAATTAATAATAGGAACCCCCAATAGATTAGGGAGACCAGCAGGGGGAGATGTCACATCCTGTGACCATAAGTAAGTGAAAGTTGCTCAGTAACGTCTGACTCTTTGCGACCCCATGGACTGTAGCCTGACAAGCTCCTCTGTCCATGGAATTCTCCAGGCAAGAATACTGTAAACATAGCAAGCCCAATAATAAGAAGAAAGACTCCTTTTCCCTGACAAAGACTTGCCAGTGAAAAGCCAGGGACTCAGTTTATTACAACCCCCTTCCCCCAACTTTCTTTCTCCCCTCTATAAAGGCATTTTTCTTCACTTGACTTGAATGTGGTGGCTTGCTGTGGTTGCAGACCTCAAATTGCAATTTATGTAATTCTTTATACTGAAGTTCTTTCAAAGTTTAATGAACAAATTATCAATTGCAGGCAGTACTTTCCCTGCATTAGTTTCTACAATTAAAAAAAACTAGTGTTAAAACTTCTCTTTCTAAAAAAAAAGAGACATATTTCCTTCTGAATGAAGTTGGCGTATTGTCAGTAAGGAAGAAGGAGAGATGGTGATTGAGTGAACTACTAACAATGTACATCATATTCTTCTCTCTCTGATGTCACTTTTCAGAGTTTACCTACTATAAACCTTCTGACATCTTCCAAATCTGTATCTAGTTCTAACTTCTCTTGAGTTCTAGACACATCATCATCTGCTCATTTTACCTGGGTATCCTGCCAGTAGCTAAAATCACGTGTCTAAAATGGTACTCATTATGTTTTATCCTGGAGCTAGGAACTCCATGCATGCTCAGTTGTTCACTTATGTCCAACTCTTTGTGACCCCATGAACTGTAGCCTGTCAGGCTCCTCTGTCCATGGGATTCTCCAGGCAAGAATACTGGAGTGGGTTTCCATTTCTTCCTCCTGGGGAATCTTCCCCATCCAGGATTGAATTCATGTGTCCTCCATCTCCTGGATTGGCAGGTGGAATCTTTACCACTAAGCCACCTGGGAAGTACTTCCACCAAAAATACTGATTAAGACACCACTACTCACCCACTACACTTAGTGCCCACAACCCTGCATCAGGCCACCGCTGACCCACGCCTCTGTAAGAGACTCCTGGATACACACGGGCAAGTCTGGGTCAGTCTCTTTTGGGTCACCGCTCCTTTCTCCTGGGTCCTGGTGTGCACAATGTTATGTTTGTGCCCTCCAAGAGTCTGTTTCCCCAGTCCTGTGTAAGTTCTGGTGTCTCTATGGTGGGGTTAATGGCGACCTCTTCCAAGAAGGCTTATGCCATACCCAGGTCTGCTTTACCCAGAGCCCCTGCCCCTGTGGCAGTCCACTGCTGACCCATAACTCTGCAGGAGTCACTCGAACACAATTCTGTCTCAATCTCTGTGGGGTCTCTGGGTCCTGGTGTGCACAAGGTTTTTTTGAACCCTCTGAGCATCTCTGGTGGATGTGGGATTTGATTCTAAGGGGTGATTTTGCCCTTCCTACAGTCTTTCTGGGGCTTCTTTGCACTTGGACAGGGGGTAGCTCCTCAAAGTCGCTCCAGCACCCTGCAGCCACTGTTCCACTGCTGTGCACCTGCCACTCCAGTGTAGTGGAGTGTGCATGGGACCTTTTGAAGGAGGTCGCCATTATCCTCATTACCTCCACCATAGTTTGGCACCAAGTAAATAAAAGGAAGGGAACACAGCCCCACCCATAAACAGAAGATTGGATTAAAGATTTACTGAGCATGGCCCTCCCCATCAGGACAAAATCCAGTTTCCCCCATCAGGAAGCTTCCATAAGCCTTTTACCTTTCTCCATCAGAGGGCAGACAGACTGAAAACCACCATCCCAGAAAATTAACCAATGTAATCACAAGGACCATATCCTTGGTCTAACTCAGTGAAACTATGAGCCATGCCGTGTAGGGCCACCGAAGATGGACTGCTCATGGTGGAGAGCTATGACAAAATGTGGTCCGCTGGAGAAGGGAATGGCAAATCACTTCAATATTCTTGCCTTGAGAACCCCCTGAACAGTATGAAAAGGCAAAAAGATAGGACACTGAAAGATAAACCCCCCAGGTTGGTAGGTGCCCAATATGCTACTGGAGATCAGTGGAGAAACAATCCCAGAAAGAATGAAGAGATGGAGCCAAAGGAACAACACCACCCAGCTGTGGATGTAATTAGTAATGGAAGTAAAGTCTGATGCTAAGAAGAGCAATATTGCGTAGGAACCTGGAATGTTAGGTCCATGAATCAAGGCAAATTGGAAGTGGTCGAAGAGGAGATGGCAAGAGTGTATGTTGACATTTTAGGAATCAACGAACTAAGATGGACTGGAATGTGTGAATTTAACTCACATGACCATTATATATAATACTATATGCAAGAATCTCTTAGAAGAAATGGAGTAGCCATCATAGTCAACAAAAGGGTCTGAAATGCAGTACTTGGATGCAATCTCAAGAACAACAAAATGATCTCTGTTTGTTTCCAAGGCAAACCATTCAATATTACAGTAATCCAAGTCTATGCCCTGACCAGTAATACTGAAGAGCCTGAAATTGAACACTTCTATGAAGACCTACAAGCCCTTCTAGAACTAACACCTCAAAAAGATGGCCTTTTCATTGTAGGGGACTGGAATGCAAAAGTAGGAAGTCAAGAGATACCTGGAGTAACAGGCAAATTTGGCCTTGGAGTACAGAATGAAGCAGGGAAAGGCTAATAGAGTTTTGCTAAGAGAACACACTGGTCATAGCAAACATCCTCTTCCAACAACACAAGAAAAGACTCTATTCATGGACATCATTAGATGGCCAATACTGAAATCAGATTGATCATATTCTTTGTAGCCAAAGATGGAGAAGCTCTATACAGTCAGCAAAAACAAGACTGGGAGCTGACTGTGGCTCAGATCATGAACTCCTTATTGCCAAATTCAGACTTAAATTGAAGAAAGTAGGGAAAACCACTAGACCATTCAGGTATGACCTAAATCAAATCCCTTATGATTATACAGTGGAAGTGAGAAATAGATTTAAGGGACTAGATCTGATAGACAGAGTGCCTGATGAACTATGGACGGAGGTTCGTGACATTGTACAGGAGACAGGGATCAAGACCATCCCCATGGAAAAGAAATGCAAAAAGGCAAAATGGTTGTCTGAGGAGGCCTTACAAATAGCTGTGAAAAGAAGAGAAGCGAAAAGCAAAGGAGAAAAGGAAAGATATTCCCATTTGAATGCAGAGTTCCAAAGAATAGCAAGGAGAGATAAGAAAGCCTTCCTCAGTGATCAATGCAAAGAAATAGAGGAAAACAACAGAATGGGAAAGACTAGAGATCTCTTCAAGAAAATTAGAGATACCAAGGGAACATTTCATGCAAAGATGGGCTCAATAAAGGACAGAAATGGTATGGACCTAACAGAAGCAGAAGATATTAAGAAGAGGTGGCAAGAATACACAGAAGAACTGTACAAAAAAGATCTTCATGACCCAGATAATCACAATGGTGTGATCACTCACCTAGAGCCAGACATCCTGGAATGTGAAGTCAAGTGGGCCTTAGAAAGCATCACTACGAACAAAGCTAGTGGAGGTGATGGAATTCCAGTTGAGCTATTTCAAATCCTGAAAGATGATGCTGTGAAAGTGCTGCACTCAATATGCCAGCAAATTTGGAAAACTCAGCAGTGGCCACAGGACTGGAAAAGGTCAGTTTTCATTCCAATCCCAAAGAAAGGCAATGCCAAAGAATGCTCAAACTACCACACAATTGCACTCATCTCACACGCTAGTAAAGTAATGCTCAAAATTCTCCAAGCCAGGCTTCAGCAATACGTGAACCGTGAACTTCCAGATGTTCAAGCTGGTTTTAGAAAAGGCAGAGGAACCAGAGATCAAATTGCCAACATCTCTTGGATCATGGAAAAATCAAGAGTGTTCCAGAAAAACATCTACTTCTGCTTTATTGACTATGCCGAAATCTTTGACTGTGTGGATCACAATAAACGGTGGAAAATTCTTGAAGAGATGGGAATACCAGACTACCTGACCTGCCTCCTGAGAAATCTGTATGCAGGTCAGCAAGCAACAGTTAGAACTGGGCGTGGAACAGACTGTTCCAAAT